CCAAGTGGCCAGATACTGGTCAAAGGACATTTAATCAACTACCAAGTTTGCAAAATTTGTGTTTTTTTAAAATCTGCTTGTTTGTTTTGTTCTGTTAGAAATGTAATACAATGGTATGGTTGCTGATTACACGAAAAATAAATAAATAAAATAACCAAAGAGGTCCGTCAAACTGCCAAATCAACATACCTATAGAATACAGGTTAGCAAATATATACATTAACAAATCAATAGTGATTTGTTCATAGAATTCATTGCCCCACTGAAAGATGGAGTAGCTATGGGGAGCCTTCTCGGCCTGGTCATGGCTAATTTCTACATGGAGCGCTTTGAAAAACAAGCCCTGGAAACAGCAACAAAAAAGCCCACTATATGGTTCAGATATGTGGATGACACTTTCACTGTTTGGAGCCATGGAGAAGAGCTAGACAGGTTCCTGGACCATCTGAACAGCATCCACCCAAACATCCAATTCACCATGGAAAAAGAAAAGGAAGGAAGACTGCCTTTTCTAGATGTCCTAGTCATCCGCAAACCAGATCAACAATTGGCTCACACCGTTTACAGAAAACCCACACACACAAATAGATATCTACATAAAAACTCCAACCATCACCCAAGTCAAAAAAGAAGCACCATTAAAGCCTTGGCAGACCGTGCAAAAAAATCTGCGAAGCCCACCTCCTCCAAGATGGACTGGACCACCTAAACTGGGCTCTACAGGCCAATGGAGACTCCACCTCAGACATCAGAAGAGCTGCAAGACCAAGAACAAGCCACGAGAGTCAAGACGAAGATCCATCCAGAGGAAAAGTGTTCTTGCCATACATCAAGGGAACCACTGACTGCATAGGGAAGCTGATGAGGAAACACAACATACAAACTATCTACAGACCCACCAAGAAAATCCAACAAATGCTTCGTTCAGCAAAGGACAAGAGGGATCCTCTCACCTCTGCAGGAGTCTACCATGTACCATGCAGCTGTGGGCAAGACCACATAGGGACCACCAAACGCAGCAGCATTGCCCAAACACGAATCAAGGAACATGAAAGGCACTGCAGACTACTTCAACCAGAGAAGTCAGCCATTGCAGAGCACCTGATGAACCAACCTGGACACAGCATTTTATTTGAGAACACAGAAATGCTGGACCACACCAACAACCACCATGTCACACAGAGAAGCCATTGAAATCCATAAGCATGTGGACAGTTTCAACAGAAAGGAGGAAACCATGGAAATGAACAAAATCTGGCTACCAGTATTAAAAAAAACTCTAAAATTACAACAGCACAACACCAGAGAGGAAACAATCTGGGACATCTAATCACCTCTCAACAAAAGATTGCCCCAGGTACTGCCAGGCCATCAAATGCTAATCAAGGTGGTCAGTTGAAACATTCACACCTAGCTCCAGCAGACAAGAGTCCTTTGTCCCACCCTGGTCATTCCACAGATATATAAACCCTTTTTCTAGTTCCAACAGACCTCACTACCTCTGAGGATGCTTGCCATAGATGCAGGCGAAACATCAGGAGAGAATGCCTCTAGAACATGGTCATATAGCCCGAAAAAACCTGCAACCACCCAGTGATTCCGGCCATGAAAGCTTTCAACAATACAATAGTGAAAGACTTGGGCGTTGGCTATTTCCAACATGCTCTTTCCATGTCGCATCCCCTCCATCTTTTTTTAAAAAGTTGTATGGGTTTTTGTTTTCAATTCATATCTTTATTTTTAAAAAAATCAATGTAACAGATCTATAGGTAAAGGTTTTTCCCGATATTAAGTCCAATTGTGTCCGACTGGGGGGGGGGGGGTGTCTCATCTCTATTTCTAAGCCGAAGAGCCGGCGGTGTCTGCAGACACCTCCAAGGTTATGTGGCCAGCATGACTGCATGGAGCGCTGTTACCTCCCCGTCAAAGATCAATTGATCTTCTCACATTTGCATGTTTTCAAACTGTTAGGTTGGCAGAAGCTGGGGCTAACAGCGGGAGCTCACGCTACTCCCGGATTCGAGCCTGCGAACTTTCAGTTAGCAAGTTCAGCAGCTCAGCGGTTTAACCCACTGCGCCACCAGGGGCTCCATCTATATACATGCATATATAGTACACGAACTAATACAATGCTCCCCAACATATTTTTTAATGAAAAATTTGAAATGGTAAACAAATGATGTCAATTTCAGTAACCATCTCATAGTACAAACAGAATGTTATTCACTGAATTATCTTAACATTGCATGGTTCAGTCTTAGTATATGGTTTGGCCCTATGATCTTGTTGCTTACTGTTTCCTGTAGGTATGTTCTGGTATCCCCCTCGATGGACTGTCACCTTGTCGTGGTGAGGGGGCTTGCGCGTTCCAATGAACCTGTAGGCACA